GGCCCCCAGCCACTGGCAGGTCACGTGACCTGTCAGTGGCGGCTCCTGCCAGCCAGTTGAAGATTGAACCCCTACTGCAATTGTTATTAATTACATATTTATATTTATTGTAAATATAAAATCAGCGACATAGATTCTGGGTTGCAAAATGCATGCTCACATCCGTAGACACTGTAGAGGTTTTGCTTTGTTTCACAGAACTAATCGTTGCCTGGGTTGTGTACGTATGTGTGGGGCGGAGCTATCAGAATAGGGGCAAGACCCTTTTGGGGTAGGGGCGTGTTTGTTTTGGTGATTTCAAATATTAACATTGGCTACCAGAAATCACTTACTCTGCCTTTAAAGCAGCACTATGTACCTTTTGGCGCTCTAGCGGTTAATAAACAGAACTGCACACATCCTGCGGAAGAACATTCCAACCGGAGCTACTTCTCTAAGTCTATGGCGATTCCATATGGATGGTCTATGGATGTGTTCCTCCGCAGCGGTGACGACCCGACCAGGCTACAATAGTCCAAATATAAGTACTTATTATAAATGTACCGTAGTGATTCGGAATAAGACAAAAACGCGGTTTGGAAGATGAATTCATGATGTATTCGCTCATTATATACATTTTGCAAATTTTGAACAGAAAAAGTTACATAGTGCTGCTTTAAATTACAACCTTGCGAGTGGCAAAAAGTGGAAATCAGGATTATGCAGTAATGTTTTCAGAATCATTCCTACATGTGAAAATGGGCTGAGAACTGAACAAATAGTTGTAATCTGGCTCAGAGGAAGACAGGAATCATGTCTTTATGGCAGTTCTTCTGCTGATTAAAGAATAATACAAGACCTTTTCACCTTACAAATAGTTGCTGAAAGCAAAAAATGACGAAAATCCATCATTTTTTTGTGTAAAAGTGTGATGTGATTAAGCAAAACAGGCACTATTTTTGGAACCAGCACCCTAAAATTAGTAAGAAACTATTTTTGTATTTTATTCAGCAAAATAGGGTGGCTTGCTGGCAGGACTCACCTCTCTGACGGACAGCTGAGCGGGAAGAGAAACGGTCAGCACCAGACTGTCAAACTCATACTGTTGGTTTTTCACAGCATCTGACACCTGCACATTAATAAAATCCATAAGCGACGTTCGCACAGCAGCAGAATACAGATCAGCCTTTCATTTTAATAAACGTACCTGTTTGGCGAAGGTGGGATCACAGAAGTCCTGCAAGACTCCTAAACAGACGGGACAAATGTCTGAGTCCGTCTGCGCTGCTGTAACAGAGCCCTCCGTGCTGCCCTCATCTATTCTCAAGCGTTTATTCGGCGGCTCGTCGGTTTTCTCCTCACCAGAGGCATCGTGGGGCTGAGGGCTGCTTTCCTCACTGATGAAGGCCAGAAGCTCTTTGTGTATGTCCTACAAACAGGAAAGTTCATTATTGACATATACAAGCACAGGTGAAAAGCCAGGTGATGTTCAGGATCATGGGAGACCTCATAGGATCGTCTGTAAGCAGAGCAGGTTCCCACACAGCAGAAGCGCAGAACGCATCTCACACAGCAGCCGGCGCACAGCAGCTTTCCGACGATGGGCCGGTCTTTCTCTTTGAGGGACAACATACTGATGAGAAAAAAAGAGAATAAAGGTAAAATATATCATTAAATGTTATGCAATTTGTCCTAAATAAATATCACAACATTTAAAGATAAGATGACACCATTTTTAGATTAGTTCATATAGGATGCGAAACTGAAGACACATCAACTTGTTTTTCAAATAATGCAATCTGCCAACTAAAATCTAAAAATAGTTTTTGTTTAAATCAATAAAATGTTATTTTGTATTCCCATGCATTGACATATGTATTATTAAAATTATTTTGTTTTTAATTACGAACAACTTTTTAAATGAGAATCATATTTTAAAAATTGTGTAGTTTAAAGTTATGCAACATGAAATTGCATAACTTTAACATATATCTTTGAGGGACAACATACTGATGAGAAAAAAAGAGAATAAAGGTAAAATATATCATTAAATGTTATGCAATTTGTCCTAAATAAATATCACAACATTTAAAGATAAGATGACACCATTTTTAGATTAGTTCATATAGGATGCGAAACCGAAGACACATCAACTTGTTTTTCAAATAATGCAATCTGCCAACTAAAATCTAAAAATAGTTTTTGTTTAAATCAATAAAATGTTATTTTGTATTCCCATGCATTGACATATGTATTATTAAAATGATTTTGTTTTTAATTACGAACAACTTTTTAAATGAGAATCATATTTTAAAAATTGTGTAGTTTAAAGTTATGCAACATGCAATTGCATAACTTTAACATACTATTAAATGTTATAAAAAGTCATTATGCCAATAAAATGGAATGTTTTTTATTATTATTTATTTTGCAAAGCACTCTAAATGCAATCCAAAAATGTAAACAATGCATAAAGAAGTTCTTGAAATCCCTCACTGCTCTTGACTGAATCGCATTAGTAGCCCTAATAGGTCTTCATCTAAATTTAATTTATGTAAATAAATATGTCTGCTTGAAAGAAGGATTTTGTATGCAAGTTGTTATAAAGAATGCATATTATATAACCATTGCAAGGAGGACCATGTTCTTGTTTCTTTATGAGAAGTGGTTTTATTTAATTTTGAGACGGACATGTTTTATGTCAGAGAAGACAACGTGACTAATATTCATGAACCCAGCAGCTCATTAATACTTAGTGCGTTTTATATTGTTATTGGTAGTAGATATTGTAGTAGTAGTATTACCTTATCAGTATCACCTTTTTTTTTTTAGCATTGAACGACCAACAATTTCTTAAAGGGGTCATATGATGTTGCTAAAAAGAACATTATTTGGTGTAATAAAATGTGTTTATGCGGTTTAAGGTTAAAAAAACACATTATTTTCCACATACTGTACATTATTGTTTCTCCTCTATGCCCCGCCTTTCTGAAACGCGTCGATTTTTACAAAGCTCATTGTGGGGGCGTGTTAGAACGAGCCGTTTTAGGTAGGTGTGGTTAACGCTTAACTTTTATAAAGAATATCTCTTTGGATTTGAGACTTTAGTCTTTGCAACTTTACAGATCTTCTTTATGCACCAAGAGCTTGTAACACTCCAAAGAGAAAGGACAACTTGAAATCGCATCATATGACCCGTTTAAGCACCACCACCGGTCCTTAGTTCAGTTAAAATGACAAATATGCATGCATACATGGTTACCGAGTTTTAATGATCATTTATGATGCTTTGATTAAAATGTGCATATTTGTTAATACATAAAGAAGAAGCTGAAAGCACAGAGATGGGGACGACAGTTTAAAAAGCATCATCATGAGATCAGAAAAGCACAAAATAGTTCGGATTTTTATTAAAACCTTCAAGAAAAAATCTCTATATTAACACATCAGAACAGCTGCGTGAGTTCATCACGCATTATTTATACGAGAAACACAAATGGCACGTGATTTGTTGAACGAGCTCTCTCTAAACATAGCAATGCTCGCTTACCTTCAGTCAAACCGCAGCGAGAGACAGAGAAGCTCATGTACCCTAAAGCACAGAACCTGCGTGAATTATAGATAATAAATCCTTTAGCACAACATACTCTGACATATATGTATAAGAGGGCGTCGCTGACCCACTATAACACATTTCCTTACACCGGGCATGTTTTAAGACACCCCTAACGTCATCCTCACGCGCCGCACTGTCACGCTCGCGGTCCTTTCTCTGTTACCGTCGCAACCGAAGGATTATTCTAGAAGGTTCTGCTTGGAGCATCCGAGCCGAACGTTATCTGAACCCATCCGAACCGCGCCGACGGCTTAGAGAGACCGGGCAACGTCCATCTCCGTCTGTGACTTCTGAGGAACAGCATAACGTAAATATTAGCCATCATGCCTGAAGGCGTAGCGGCTGCAAACGGGTTTAAAAACAAAAGAGGCGCGTATGTGGACCGGGACAAACCCGCCCAGATCCGCTACAGCAACATCAACGCCGGGAAAGGTGAGAGATCTGTATATTCACATTAAAAGAGTTGTTTTGTTTTATTGTATTGTTGCAGTATAGTATAGTGGAAGCACGAGTCAAGAAAAGACCGATTCCGTTATAAACATGACCGTATCTGCTCACATTTGTTTCTTTTCTGCAAATATGGCCGTGTTTACAAGCATTGGATGAGGAATGAATATGAAGCTATGACCGGTTATGTTCCTCATAATCAAAACGCGCACTCACTTGCGTACTGGTGAGGTGTGGTCTTCTTCTTTGACAACACGTGACACACAGTCATGAACACAAGAAGAAATGCATAAATAGATTCAGTATAGTCAAAATATGATTTTCGTAAAATGCAATAAAAGAGCATCACACACGTTCCATTCTTTAAGTACAGAAAGTCTTTACTCTTTCTGGAAGATTTAATACAAAATAAAATTCAGGCATTGCATGTTAAACACATCATCAATAGCTAACCTTGATTTCTGTGAATTATTTAGATTTTAGTTATAATGTGTCATATTTATGTATGTATGTCCCACATGTTATAAAATGTCATTTCATGTTGTGATATTAAATTTGTCAAACTTCTATTTATGTTTAATGAAGTGTGTGTGTGTATGTATGTGTATATATATATATGTGTATGTATGTATATATTAGGGATGCACCGATATGAAAATTTTGGCCGATACCGTTAACCGATTACTCTTTATTTTTGAAAGCCGATAACCGATATGTTGGCCGATAAATCTATATCCAAATTGTTAAATACTTTTTGAGAGCCTGATTACAAAAAAAGGTTCAAATTTTCTTATCAGGCCGATACTGATAACAGAAAAAATGAGCCGATATGGGCCGATACCGATATGGTGGCCGATATATCGTGCATCCCTAGTATATATATATATATATATATATATATATATGTGTGTATGTATGTATGTGTGTGTATATATATATATATGTGTGTGTGTATGTATGTGTATATATATATATATATATATGTGTATGTATATATATTGATGATTGATCCTGTCTTTTGTTTGATAGCTGTCGCAGATGCCATCAGAACAAGTCTGGGCCCTAAGGGCATGGATAAAATGGTTTGTTTTTACGATTCCCCGATATAAATCTTATCATATAACGTTTTATGCTTAACCTGACTTGGTTGTATGTCAGTAGATGTGTGTTTTCAGTGCACTGAGTGAAAGTATTTGTTTTCTGCAGATTCAGGATGGAAAGGGCGATGTCACCATCACTAATGATGGAGCCACAATCCTCAAACAGATGCAGGTGCTGCATCCTGCGGCCAAAATGGTAAATCACTGATTCAGGAATGTTTTTCTTCATTTGTATAATCCTGAATGTGCTGAATGAAAGTTTTTGTTTTAGTTTGTTATTGTTCAGATTACCTGAATTTGAACTTGGTTTCTCCATGGCTTGACTTGCCTGTTTCATTGCAGATGCGTTGTGGTTCTATCATCTACCCATTTGAATTGATTCACAAAATTCAATTTTAGTGGATAAGTTCTATTATTAATGCATAAAAAAACGGAAGTCTACTATGAGAGTGGTGCAGCAGATTGAGAATCAATTTAGAATTGAATTGCACATCAGAGGTCATGTCTGGCGTATTATGGGATGTTTCAGATGGTGGAGCTGTCTAAAGCTCAGGATATTGAGGCTGGTGACGGCACTACATCAGTGGTGGTGATTGCTGGAGCTCTTCTTGATGCCTGCGCTAAACTGCTACAGAAAGGTAGGCTTTAGTAACATTAAATCTTTATACAACATGTCATCATTTACTTAACCTCCACTTGTTTCAAACAGTTTGTTTCTTCTGTTAAACACAAAAGTACACCATTTGAAAAATGTTGGTAATCAAACAGTTGACGGTAGCCATTGACTCCAATAGTATTTTTTTTCCATACTATCGAAGCTAATGGCTACCGTCAACTGTGTGGTTACTCGCGTTCTTTAAATAATTTTTTGTGTTCAACAGAGGAAAGTAACTCATAGAGGTTCGAAACAACTTGAGCGTGAGTAAATGATCACAGAATTATGGGTGAACTATCCCTTTAAATTGTAATAGATTTAAATATGTCAGTACTGGTTTGCCGTGCGTTGGTTAAGCATATTCTGTAATTAAATCATTTGATACTGTACTGTGAACAGATCTTTCACAGCCATTTTCAACCATTTAGGGTGTCCTTTTACATAATTCCTCATATGTCATGGTGGTGATTTATTTATAACATCAAATTCAGCATGATCTTTCTGGTCTGTTTTTCCTGCCAGGAATCCACCCGACCATTATTTCCGAGTCTTTCCAGAAGGCCGTAGATAAAGGTGTGGAGATCCTGACGTCCATCAGTCAGCCAGTTCAGCTCAGTGACAGAGAGACCCTTCTGAACAGCGCCACCACCTCGCTCTGCTCTAAGGTGGTGTCCCAGTACTCCAGCCTGCTCGCGCCCATGAGCGTCGACGCCGTCATGAAGGTCATCGATCCTGCCACCGCCACCAGCGTTGATCTCCATAATATCCGCATCGTCAAGAAACTCGGGTGAGATGCAGGATAGAATCTAAATATTGCTCAGTCAGTTATTAGGGTGCAGAAAGTAGTAGTTTCTCTTTGCAAAAGCAAATTTATTGATGTGTTTGTGTTTTTGCAGTGGGACCATTGATGACTGTGAGCTGGTGGATGGTTTGGTGTTGACTCAGAGGGTGGTGAACACTGGAGTGTCCCGTGTGGAGAAAGCCAAAATCGGCCTCATCCAGTTCTGCCTGTCCCCTCCCAAAACTGATGTATGTGATCATGCTTAAAACTGAAATAAAATATCAGACATTGTGTTAAGATCATAGTCATTGAGTTAATGGGTCTGTGTGATGCTCTTGTTGGGACAGATGGACAATCAGATTGTGGTGTCGGACTATGCTCAGATGGACCGTGTGCTCCGTGAGGAGAGAGCTTACATCCTCAACCTGGTCAAACAGATTAAAAAGGCCGGCTGCACTGTGTTGCTCATTCAGAAATCCATCCTGAGGTACAAAAATCATCAAGACACAGTCACTGCTAAATGTAAAAATGTTAAGGGGGACATAACACACACAGAAGGCCAAAGGGACGACTCTTTCAGCCATTGCAAGAGAAGCTAGTCATTCCAAATCTGTGATTTCTCGAATATTGCAGCTTTACTTCATTCAAGTCCTGCAAAAAGGCTGGTTGTCCACGTAAGACAAATGCACGAGAGGACAGGATAACGCGGAGACTCTCTAATCTGGAGAATCGGTTCAGCACTGCAGCTGGAATTGCTTGCCAGTTCAGCGCTGAACAGGGTATGGATCTGTCTCGGCACGTTTAAGAGAAGTCGGACTGAAAGCACACTCTGCAGTGACTAAGCCTCTCATCAGCAGAGAGAATCAAAAGGCTAGACTCACCTTTGCTAAGGAGCATGTTGTGTGGACAGAGGAGAACTGGTTCAAAGTTCACTTTAGTAATTAGAGTAAGTTTAATTTATTTGAAAGTGAAAAGTGAAAGTGAAGTGACGTGTGGCCAAGTACGGTGACCCATACTCGGAATTTCTTGTTTTATAAGACTACTTCTTTCAAAAGTAAATTTAAAGATTCTTTTATAGAATTTTATGGACAAAACTTTATTTTATAATTGCTTTATTTAATTTTTGTATTTTGTATTGTGTACTACTGTATTGTTTTTCTCATGTATAATCTTTGTTTGCCATGAAATAGCCTGTAAAGCTGATGTGGCAATAAACTTCAAATCAAAAATCAAACATTTAGGGTTGGGACACTTTTAAAAAAAAATTAATTAATTAATTTTTTTAAATAATTCTTCATATGTCATAGTGATGTTTATTTATGACAACACATTCAGCATGATCGTTCCTCTCTGTTTTTCCTGCCAGGACTCCACCCGACCATCATTTCCGAGTCCTTCCAGAAGGCCGTAGATAAAGGTGTGGAGATCCTGACGTCCATCAGTCAGCCGGTGCAGCTCAGCGACAGAGAGACTCTTCTGAACAGCGCCACCACCTCGCTCTGCTCTAAGGTGGTGTCCCAATACTCCAGCCTGCTCGCACCCATGAGCGTCGACGCCGTCATGAAGGTCATCGACCCCGCCACCGCCACCAGCGTAGATCTCCGCGATATCCACATCATCAAGAAACTCGGGTGAGATGCAGGATAGAATCTAAATATTGCTCAGTCAGTTATTAGGGTGCAGAAAGTAGTAGTTTCTCTTTGCAAAAGCAAATTTATTGATGTGTTTGTGTTTTTGCAGTGGGACCATTGATGACTGTGAGCTGGTGGATGGTTTGGTGTTGACTCAGAGGGTGGTGAACACTGGAGTGTCCCGTGTGGAGAAAGCCAAAATCGGCCTCATCCAGTTCTGCCTGTCCCCTCCCAAAACTGATGTATGTGATCATGCTTAAAACTGAAATAAAATATCAGACATTGTGTTAAGATCATAGTCATTGAGTTAATGGGTCTGTGTGATGCTCTTGTTGGGACAGATGGACAATCAGATTGTGGTGTCGGACTATGCTCAGATGGACCGTGTGCTCCGTGAGGAGAGAGCTTACATCCTCAACCTGGTCAAACAGATTAAAAAGGCCGGCTGCACTGTGTTGCTCATTCAGAAATCCATCCTGAGGTACAAAAATCATCAAGACACAGTCACTGCTAAATGTAAAAATGTTAAGGGGGACATAACACACACAGAAGGCCAAAGGGACGACTCTTTCAGCCATTGCAAGAGAAGCTAGTCATTCCAAATCTGTGATTTCTCGAATATTGCAGCTTTACTTCATTCAAGTCCTGCAAAAAGGCTGGTTGTCCACGTAAGACAAATGCACGAGAGGACAGGATAACGCGGAGACTCTCTAATCTGGAGAATCGGTTCAGCACTGCAGCTGGAATTGCTTGCCAGTTCAGCGCTGAACAGGATATGGATCTGTCTCGGCACGTTTAAGAGAAGTCGGACTGAAAGCACACTCTGCAGTGACCAAGCCTCTCATCAGCAGAGAGAATCAAAAGGCTAGACTCACCTTTGCTAAGGAGCATGTTGTGTGGACAGAGGAGAACTGGTTCAAAGTTCACTTTAGTAATTAGAGTAAGTTTAATTTATTTGAAAGTGAAAAGTGAAAGTGAAGTGACGTGTGGCCAAGTACGGTGACCCATACTCGGAATTTGTGCGCTGCATTTAACCCATCCAAGTGCACACACACACAGTAGTGAACACACACAGCCCGAGTGCATAAAGAAGTCCGTGAAAGCTGGAGGAGGAAGTGTCATGGTTTGGGGGATGTTTTCTGCAGCAGGAGTTGGGCCTCTTATACAGATACATGGTGAATGCAAATGTTTATCAGAACCTCATTCAGCAACATGCAGTTCCTTCCCAATCAGCCTGCAATTTTCATGCAAGACGATGCCCCCGTCACACTGCAGAACGGATAAAGCAGTTCCTTGAAGCTATGAACACTGAAATAATGAAATGGCCGGCCCAGAGTCCTGATCTAAACCTGATTGAAAATCCTTGACTCAAAGTTAAGGCTAAGAAACCCACTTCAGTTACTAAAGAAGTCACTCAAAGCAGGGGCCTCTACACTTCAGCTACTAATTTCTGACAGCTGTAACCCTCCGAAATATTAGTTGTAATCTTCTTTCGAGCAACAGTGATTATTTGCTCTTTAATTTTAATCACTGTGTTTTCCGCAAAATAAAGGATATATATATATTACCAACTTTAATCTGTATAGTTTCCATTTATATATTAAATTAATATAAAATGTATCAGTTTCAGAGGTTCTCATGGTGTTTGTGGTTGCTCGTGTCTTTCAGAGATGCACTGAGTGATCTGGCCGTTCACTTCCTGAATAAGATGAAGATCATGGTCGTCAAAGACATTGAGAGGGAGGACATTGAATTCATCTGCAAGGTATGACCAGCAGATCCAGCAATGTCATGGGACTATTAAGTGCTTTTTTTTTTTGAGGATGCATATGCGTGTAAAGTTTGTGTCTTATATCTAATGCACATTCTGCATTGCCTGTCACAATTATCAAGTATTTTTCTTCTGTCCCATCAGACTCTTGGCACCAAACCTATTGCTCATATTGACCAGTTCACTCCAGAGATGCTGGGAACAGCAGAGCTAGCTGAAGAGGTTCACCTGGATGGATCTGGCAAACTAGTGAAGGTAACCTACCTGTTATAACCTAGATGCATCTACATGCATTTCCAAATGAACATGTTTTGTTTTTCTCATGCATACTGGGTGAGAAATATTATTTAACAATTTTTTCTTTACTTAAACATTTACTTATAGACAGATTCTCCAGACACAGTGATGCATATGTTTTTATTCTGTCCGTGCTGGAAAATGAGAGCCGTGATTGATTTGTGTTTGTAGATCACAGGGTGTGTAAATCCAGGAAAGACTGTCAGTATTGTCGTTCGTGGTTCCAACAAACTGGTGATTGAGGAGGCAGAACGATCCATCCACGATGCCCTTTGCGTCATCCGCTGTCTGGTCAAGAAGAGGTAACCAAGATTACAAGAGACTCCAGTGATTATATGGATTTCTCCATGGATAAGAATTTTTATTTAGCATAAGCTGAATGAATTGGCTGATATTTGACTATTTCCAGCATTGGCACGGTTTAGTATGTTGCGCAACAGACACGCACAGGGAGAAAAGACGGCTGGGATTAATGTCCGCAAGGTGTGCCTTTCAACAAATAGTTCTCAATAGTCCTGCCTACTGACAAAACCCCTAAAAAAAAATGAGCGTTTAACATGTCTTTTGGTCTCTCAGGGTGGGATCTCTAACATCCTGGAGGAGCTGGTAGTTCAGCCTCTGCTGGTCTCCATCAGTGCACTCACCTTCGCCACGGAAACGGTCCGCAGCATCCTCAAGATTGATGATCTTGTGAGTGATTTGCTATGTCTAATGAGTATTTAACGGACCCTGAAATTAGCACTGATGTTGTCTGTAAATGCACAAGCATTAATGGCTCATTTCTTCTGCAGGTGAACACACGATAAAGTGAATGTGATTAGTGAAGGAAGATCCAACCCCATGCTAGCACCCTGATAAGACCAAATAATCTGTCGCTGTCTGTTGCTGTTACCTGGAGTAATTTAATTAAACTTTTTTTTTGGCACGGTAACTGTTGTCTGTTGTTATTTGTCTTTGATATACAGTATGTGGTCAATGTTTTAATTTATTTACATGGTGGTTGTCCTGGTCAATGCATTACTGCATGTCAATAAGTTTAATCTTGTTAGTTAATAGTCTTATCCGATCAGAGACAGAGCTCTGCTCTAAGGCCTGAGAAAGTCTGAAGTCAAGATCTGACAATTTTCACTTGTAATCAAGTTTTGCATTTTTATGATGGAAAAAAATAATTAGTATAAAAAAAAGAATACACCAGAATGGGAGACGGGGTCAGTTTTTGCCTACTTCTGTGGTTGTGAATGTGTTTACGTCGGTATGCTAAATATAGCTAAATTAACCTCAAAAGTTACAATTATTCATAAATCTGCAAAACATGTGCAATACATATAATCATTTAGATGCATAAATGTGTGTGTAATATAGTGTTGGTTTCATGTCGAGTACGGTGAAGAACCGTGAGACAATCTCGTGTATGAATGAAGAAGAACACAATCTGCCATCTGGCCCTAAAGCTGACAGACCTGCAGATTAACAGCTTATACACAGAGAGACTCATCTTGTGTTACACACAACTACTGAACGCACACACCTCTGTTTTCCAGACCAAAAACAAAAGAGTGTGATGTATGAAAGCACTGGGCTTTCAACCAACATTCCTCGAATTGGTTATTTTTTTGGTCAATCAATGCATCAAAATCTCAAAGAATTGTACTGATTAAGTATCTTAACCTATGGATTACAGTGAAAAGTATCTAAGCAAATCAACCTGTTCTCACTGTGTGTATCTTCATAGATGGAGTATGACTCTGGACCTGAGCTGGCGACTGATGACCCTCCTGCTAAAGACAGCAATGCACTGCTGATCAAAGACTATCCGGTGACAGGCGATCACATCGATCTCAGGGAGTTCTACTTTTCAAACCAAGAGTACTACTGTAAGATAGAGCAGCTGAAGAAGGCTCATCTCCAAACCATGGCTGAACTCGAACTCATGTATCGCAAGAAGCTTGACCTCAAAGGGGTGAGCGCTGCGGACAACACTGATCGGACCAATCTGTGAGTTTATACATAACAATAGTTATTTTTCAAAACTAAAACAAAAGTTTTTAACCAACGCATTTGTTGTTGTTGTTAGCTTTTATAAACTGGAATTAATCTAGGTATGCACATGTTTTAAAAGTTTGTGAAAGATGTCTCTTATTTTCACCAAGGGTACAGATAAAAAAATACAGTAGAAACAGTAATATTGCGAAATATTATTACATATTAAATAACTCTTTTCTATTTTAATATATTTTAAAATGTAATTTATTCCTTTGATGGCAGAGCTGAATTTTCAGCATCATTACTCCAGTCTTCAGTGTCACATGATCTTCAGAAATCATGCTAATATGCTGATCTGCTGCTCAAGAAACATTTCTGATTATTATTAATGTTGAAAACATTTGTGCTACTTCATATTTTTTGTGGACGCTGTGATACATTTTTTTCTGGATTCTTTGATTAATAGAAAGTTCAAAAGAAAAGCATTTGTTTAAAATAGAAATATTTCTAACATTGTAAATATCTTTACTGTCACTTTTGATCAATGTTATGCATCCTTGCTGAATAAAAGTATTAGTTTTTCAAATAAAAATCTTACTGACCCCAAACTTATGAACAAGTGTATGGAAATGAAGTAAATGGAAATGAAAATATTATTAACTTAATTATTATTTTTGTTAAATAGTTCCCCACAAGGATGGAGTCCAGTGATAACCAGCAATCTGAAAAAAGCCCGGTCTGCTCTGGAGCTGCGGTGGACTTCAGATCTTTCTGACCTGTCTGATGAAGAGGGCAGTGCTGACAATGGCAACACCGAGAAAAGCCTTCTTATCTCACCCAAAGAGCTCATCAAGAGCATGTGGCAGGAATTCAGTGTGAATAAGCTTTCTCTGCATCAATGGCACCCGTTTTCATCCTCACTGCAGAGCTTGCCTGCTGACTGCCAGGCCGCTAGCAAACCCAAAGGTAGGATCAGGGGTCAACGGCTAAAAAGACACAAGCAAAATGTAGATGAGGGTTGGCATCCGAGAGTAACAGTCCCCAAGCCTTTCCACATGACACTTCGTGAGGCGGAACGGCGAAAGAAGGGTATAAAATCACGTTCGGAGATTGAACAAGAGAACGCGGATCTCCGACGCCAGGTGGAGGAGCTCACCGAGTGCCAGAGGAGGTTCCATGCCAGTCCGGTGCCTGCACATGTGCGCCTCCCGCTGTACGAGGAGCTGCAGGAGCGCCGACGACTTCATCGAGAGATGGAGCAGCAGCGTCTCCACACCTCACAAAGACCCTTCAGCTTCCTGGAGCGTGAACGGCTGAAGAAAGAGCAGAAGGAGGCCAAGCTCCGCGAGCAAATGCTCAAACACAACAGAGAGGAAGAAGAGAGGAGGAAATGCCCGTTCAAGGCCAAACCCGTCCCACGGGCGGTGAAGGAGGCAGCGTCGGGCGAGCAGCAGAAGGATGAGGAGCTCTACAGGGCCATCAAGATGCAGATGCGGGCAAGAGAGTTGCTTCATAGCGCATCCATGCCTCCTAGCATGCTTGCACGGCATCTCAGCGAAAAACAGGTGCAGAAAGCCGCCCAGGATGACGAGCATACACACCGGCCCAAAATCAACGCCGAACTTCCAGACTTCGACGCCAGCTACAGGACATTTCGGAAGCAGCTGGCGAAGCACAGAGAAGTACGGCCTGTGACGGCATGTGAACCCTTCCAGCTGCGCACGGCTAATATCTCCTCACACAAAGAACGCATCATGGCAGATATCGAGGCAGAGATAAAGAGCCCAAAACCGTCCCGCTGGCCGTTCATGACCCCACCTGCCCTCTCGCCCAGAACGCCCTTGTCATCCCTTTGCTCCTCTCTGTCCGGAAGCCAGGAATGCTTGTCTGCTAAAATCACAGATGCAGCCAAGAAACGCCAAGAAGCTGTGAGGTAACTGTGATGCCCAACTTTAAATATTCACCCCGCTAGAACTTTCCAAGTGAAGTCCTGTGTCTCCGGCTTTTTGGAATTCCAAAGCAGGAATGGGAATTTCCCTGCCACTGTGTCTCCTATTAATAACCCCATCAACAGTGAAAGACTTTACTGGGTATGTTGTCGATGCTCCTGAATCCTCTTGCTGCCTTCAAGTCCTCGTGGGTGGTTCATACTTATGAGTTCATCAATGAATTCAAGATATTTCAGTCAAAATGAAGTGGAAGTGTTAAGTAAATTCATATGTATTTCTCCTTATCACTACCTGACAAAGAATGTTTTTAACTCTAGTACAAAGGCTGAATTAAAAATAGTATATTACACTCTTAAATATACTCGAAAATTTGGCACTCAAAAAAAAAACCCACTAGAAATTATAATATTATGGTGGCACTAATGTGTATTCATATTGAAAAATGTGATCGTTGTGGCATGACTTGAAGGCAGCATCTGTCCATTGTGCCCAAACCCTGTCCCTACTGGCTCACCTACATCAATGAATTCAAGATATTTCAGTCAAAATGAAGTGGAAGTGTTAAGTAAATTCATATGTATTTCTCCTTATCACTACCTGACAAAGAATGTTTTTAACTCTAGTACAAAGGCTGAATTAAAAATAGTATATTACACTCTTAAATATACTCGAAAATTTGGCACTCAAAAAAAAAACCCACTAGAAATTATAATATTATGGTGGCACTAATGTGTATTCATATTGAAAAATGTGATCGTTGTGACATGACTTGAAGGCAGCATCTGTCCATTGTGCCCAAACCCTGTCCCTACTGGCTCACCTACCGTAGCGTCATCCCATTAGTGGAGTCCCTCCTTCATAAGTTCAGTTCTAACAGCTCTTTACCCCTATGAGTAGAAAAGTTCTTGAGCAGAGAAAGCGGGCAGAAGAAGAGGAGGAGAAATGGAAGGAGAAGCAAAAACAGAGAGAGAAGAGACTACAAAAAGTGGTCACAAAGCGAGCCCAGGCGAATGACCCACATGTGGCCCTGGCCCAGACATGCCAGTCCAAACTAAAAGATTTCAGGTAAAGCAATTGAGCCTCTGCTCTTGAATTTCTCAAACTACACTCTTAGAAATAAAGGTTCTTTTTTGGAATTGATGGTTCAATGAATTTTTCCATGGATATGCATAGAAACTTTCCATTCCACAAAAGGTTCTTAGACTATTAAAATGTTCTTTACGTTAATAAAAAAAATAACACTTTATTCATGTTTAGTTTCTAGGGCGTTGCTAGGTTTTTAAGGTGTTTCTAAATGGCTCTTCTTTTGCATTCCTATGAAAACTCCCTTTTGGAACCTTTATTTTTAGAAGTTTTTGTAAACATTGGAGACATTTTCATATTCAGATGC